TCCAAGAGCTTGTTTGACGTCTAGGAGCGTACACAGTACCTACCCGAGTTTTGTACATATTCGGTGAACAAGCGCCAGGCTGCTTTTTTGAAATTTGTAGGGGCGCTACATACGACGTACAAACGATTTTTGGTATGTAAGCACCAGGCACCACTCTACACGTGCCCAGTGAATTTCATATTCATAAATATTAGGGTCTCCGCACCAGTGATTTACCACCACCACGCAGAGCGCCACGCTAGGCGATCGTTGAGCACATTTCATGAGGTAGCCTCAGGAGCGATAGGGCAAGCAGTCGTAACCAAGTTTCGTTTTAACTCACATGTCGATGCCGGAGATTATAACTTGTTCCATTTTAAAGACCCATACCCCAAACCCCACGGGAAGTCGGCCATTTTGATTTTGATTTTCACTTTCGCCTTGTATTTGAACGAACTCCTCCTAGGGAATTTATCGGATCTGCTTCAAAATTGGTCAGTACAGTCAAAAAATGGTGCTGATTAAAAGTTGTGCTATCAAAGTTGGCCAGGTTGAATCAAATGTCAAACTGTGATGCCATTTCCAGCATTTCAGGGCTTCTATTTTAACTAACTCCCCTACAGATTTGATCATATTGACTTCATATTCGATCACTGCAATGTAGACACATTGGTGATCAAAAGTAAATCAACTATTTACTGTGCGTCAAACGGCGTGTCAGTGGCGTGGCGCTGAATTTCCACGGTTCGCAGTAAAGAGTCTTGCTATGAACGCATAAGTCTTTTGCACAGTGTCTGAAGCGCGTGAGGACGTAGAGCTGTCTCCCTCGACTTCCAGCGATGAGGGCTTGGGCTTGGGCGACGTGGCATGGCGTGGCACCGAGGCCCCCGACGTGGGTCGACGGTGAGGTCCCGCCCAATGCTGCTTGCAGCTTTAATTATGTTTATTATTGTATTTATTGATTACATTTTAAATTGATTATTATGTTTAATATTATAGTGACTATTCTATATATTTATAATTATATTTTACTGTAAAATATATATATATAAAGTTCAGTTTTAACTGAATAAAAAACCAAAGTTCAGTTTTTATATTTATTAACTAATTAAAATCCATCCATAAAATGAAAAACATTGTGACATCATCAAACTGTAGTCCCGCCCACGAGCCAACAGTCCAATCAACTGTGAGGTCAGAGCACGGCATGCTGGGAGGGTGTGTGATGTCTGCGGACGTGTCTCAGCAGCAGCTGGCGGTCCGGACTCGAGTACTCGCACTGTTGGCATGGAAACGCCTCGCCAGTGTGATGACGGCGAGCGTGGAGGTCCAAACTCTTCTTCTGGATACTGAGAGACAACAACAAGATGTTACTATGGCAACCGCTGACCATGCCCACTCTCAGCTGTGTTACCTGTGTAACAGGTGTGTGTGTCAGCTGTGTTACCTGCTGTAGTCGCAGTGAGTACACCTGTAGGGTTTCTCCTGACTGTGGGTCCTGCAGTGTCTGAGCAGAGAGCTGCGATCTATAGAAGCATACGGACACTCAGGACACCTGTACGGCTTCTCACCTGAAAACACACACACAGTCAGTCTGACACTCACCTCACAGTACACACAGGTAGAACAGGGGTGTGTGTGTTACCTGTGTGTGTCCTCAGGTGTTGCAGCAGCGAGGCCTTCAGTCTGCTGCTGTAGGTGCAGTGTGGACAGCTGAAGGGTTTCTCTCCTCCGTGGACTCCCAGGTGACGCCTCAGAGTCAGTTTGGTAGAGAACTTCCTGTACGGAAAAACCAATCAGAGCCCTGCTACCTGTCCTCTCCTGTGATTGGTCAGTTTATGAAAGTGTCCTCTGATACCGTGCAATAACATGTGGAGTGAGGGATTGTGGGTAAGGTAGTTACCTATGACACAGAGAGCAACAGAAACCTGTCTCCACGCCCTCCTTCTCTTCTTCTTCTTTTGTTTTCTTTCTTCTGGTTTTCTTCTTCTTCTCCGTGCTGCTCTGCAGTGGACCCATCTGACTAGAACCAACACGCACAAATACTGGTTTCTGATTGGCTGGCAGGAGACAGCTGGATCATCATCACTTACTTAAATAACTGAGGATGCTGTTTGTTGGCTACTGATCAATCTGTCCCTCAGGTTCTGTCTGTC